CCACCCAGGTGCCCCAGGACTGTCAGATTCAAAACGAACAACCAATCAACCCAGGGTGTCCCATGAAACCTGAATTTCAGATAAACAATGAATAAAAAAAAAAAATCTTTCTAAGTATACCCCATGCCACATTTGGGACATAGTTACATTAAAAATTACTTGTTTACCTGAAATTCAAATTTAATTGGGTGTCTTGTGTTTAGCTCAGCAGCCCTGCCCCCCTTCTCCCAAATGTCTTTCACATCAACGCCGCCCCCCTCGCTCTCACCTCCCACCCCCGGACGTGGCTGCCCCGGCCTCTCTGCTTCTAGGGTTCCACTTGCCACAGCCACTCTTTTTGCTATTTTTAGTTTTATTTTTCTGTCATAAGAGCAATACACATTCACTACAGAAAAATCACAGGCTACAGACAAGCAACAAGAAGAAAGTAAGAAAACACTCATAATCCCACCCACACAAAGACAGCTACTGTGAATTCCTCGGGGTAGATTTTTCTAGAGCTGCCTGTGTGTGTGTCTTTGCAGATATTAAAAAAGATCACACACACTCACTGCCCAATTCAGACCCACTGTCCTCGAAGCTGCGTTTTCATGTTGCCGCAGAAGGAGGAACGGGTCTGCGCTGGGGAAATCTCACGGGCCCTGATTCGTTCCGGCCACGGCCAGGGACACCGTGCAGCCTGACATGACCCCCACCCCCCTGCCCAAGGGTCAGCGAGGCCGGTGGTCAAGGCCGCTCCCTTGTCCATCAGTTTGCTAGAGCTGCTATATCAACGTACCACAGATTGGGGGCTTAGACCACAGTGATTTGTTTCCTCCTCACGGGTCCCGGAGCTGCAGATCAGGGATCAAGTTCCGTGGTCCTAGTGTCTCCTGAGGCCTCCCTCTTTGGCGCGTAGATGGCCGCTTCTTCTCCCTGTGCCCTCACACGGTCGTCCCTCAGTGTGGCCACGTCCTTATCTCCCCTTCTTTGAAGGACACCATCGCACTGGACAAGGCCCACCCCAATGACCTCATCCTAACCTAAGCACCTCTATAAAAATCCTATCTCCAAATAAGGTCTCATTCTGAGCGACTAAGGACTTCGACATAGGGACTTTGGAGGAGGATGCAATCCAGTCCAACCAATTCAAGCCTCAGTTTGTTCATCAATGTAATGGGGCTAAAAATTATATTCATCTAAGAGGAACGTTAGGATGATCAAATGGAAGAATCCCAATACAGCACTTTGCCTGGTGCCTGGCCCCTAGAGCAAACGGTCGGCTGTCACTTCTTACTATTTCACGTGTGGGTAGTCCCAGGGCTTGGGACACCACTTTTTTGGGACAGGTTATCTACAGAGTCTAAGGTGGAGGCCACAGTCCTCTGGGTACCTCCCTCCCTCTGTGCCCAATAGTTCATCTCCTTCAGGTAGATGCCTAGAAGATAGCTCAAAGGTCAAAGGCAGATGCCAGCCTGACCCTAGAAAGTGCCCAGTCCTCCGTCAGTGGTGGATGAGCCGGTCCCCCATCCCCAGGCACCCACCGCCCCTCCCGCTCCCCTTCTGAGTCCCCTGCTTTCTGGTTGCAGGCTCCCATCCCTGAGGCTCCGCAGAGACTCCAAGCTGGAGGCTCCCGAGGTGGCCTCAACACTCCTCGCTGCCCCCCCCACCTCTGCTTTGCAGCTGCGCCGGGGGCTTCTTGCTTCCTGAACACAGTGGACCCCTTCTGGCCTCTGCGGCTTCTGCACCAAGGATGCCCTTCCTTCCACGTCTTCCTGGTGAGGCACCTGTGCCTTCAAGGGGCCAGTGAGACCTTCCCCAGGGACTCTTTCAATGCCCCTTCTCCCTCTCCCTGGACCACGTTGCTAAGCGGACTGTGGACCTCAGAAACACTAAGCGTGGGGGTGAGGGTGATGGGTAAGAACAGCAACAATGGCCAGCTCGCCCCCTGCTCCCCAGGAGTGAGGTGACAGCGGGGGCTCGAATATCCAGAGATCTGGCACAAGTTAGATGCAGGCTCAGAGCTGCTTGGGCTAGAAGTATGGATGGGTGAAGGGCGCTGGGTAGGGACTGGCAGGAGAAAGGTGTGTGGGGGTGGTGGGGGCGGTCATCAAACACCAAGCATCGTGATCCACATTATGGAAGCCGTATCTGGGAATGTGCTCATAGCCGTTGTCAGTAGGCGAAGAAGAGTCTGGAAGGAATCACTTCCAGCAGTTCAGAGGGGCTACCCCTGATGAGGCATGGATGAGAACCTTGAGGTGGTGGCTTTCAAACATTTCCAAATGTTTCCGATCCCTCCTCCAGGAGAAAGACGTTTCACATTAGCTTCCCCTGAAACAAGTTTCAGACACTGCGGTTACCCTGGGTGAAATGCTTGCTGGTAGTAGTTACATTGTATTTATTCGATTTCAGTTCTTCAAAATGCTTGACTTGATCTGCTAAACTGATTTCATGACCTGGGGCTGGGTCCTGACTTGCAGTTTGAAAAATTCTGCTCTAAGTGAGGCTCCTCTCTCTCTGCTCTACCTCCTTCTCTGTTTAAAATTTAATACTGAGAATGACTTTATGTATTATCTTCATATGTTTTACTTAAAAATAGAGAAGAGAGAGCACTGGGAAGACACAAAACAATAAAGCCAAGTAGACTTTCTGGAAGACAGTTTAGCAAAATATGGCAAACCAGACCTCTTTAAAGATGTGCATGTGTTCTGACCCAGCAGTTTCGCTGTAAGGAAAGTGCTGGTGAGGTAAAGTGGCGTGGGGCTGTGTGCACACGCTGCTCACCCCCATTTTTGCTTGTAATAACGAAACATCCCTCACACACGAGGGACCCTGGCTGTCCACCTGATGCTGTGGCAGTGGTGCCATTCTAGACTTATTTATTGACACGGAAACAGGGGTGCTTGGAAAAGGGGGTACCAGGAATCCAAAATTAATGTTAAGCTACAAAAGGGTAATCCCGGTCGTGTTATTAAAATGCATATTTACAATGGGGGGGGGCAGCCAGAGGCATGTTTCAAAGTGCCCTGAGGGCACCTTGGGTTGGTTTTATTTTCTCCAACTGTTCTGTGCTTTCCTCCATGAACGCGCACTATTTTATAAGGAAAGATTTTAAAGGAAGAGAGAGAAGAAAAGAAGGGGGGAAAGGAAGAAGCGAGGGGAAAGGAAAGAAGGGGAAAGATGAAGGGGAAGCAGAGTGGGAGGGAGAAGAGAAAGAAGGAAAGCGGGGGTGGGGTGGTGGGGTGGGGAGGGGTGCCGGACCCCCCCCCCCCACCGCCCAAGCCGGGAGCCTGCAGGCCACACGGGCAGGTCCGATCCCCCAGCGCTGGGAATTTCGGTCTGGGAAGCCAGAGGAGGCCCGCGGGGCGCGCAGGCGGCACGGGGAAGGGGGGGCGCACAGCGCACCCAGCTAGACCCCCAAGCGGCGGCCAGGACGAGGCTGCCCCGCAGTCCCGGACCCCCTCAGCTGCCTGCAGGCCACCAACCTCCCCCCTCGCCGCCCACCCCCCACCCTCCCCGGGCCAGCGCGCGGCCGACTCTCTGGGCAGTCCCTCCGCGCGTCCCCGCGGCTTGCTCCGGATCCTTCCAGGGGGTTCTGGGGTGAGAAGAAGCGCGCGGGAGGAGGGGGAGGGGAGGAGATGCAGAAATACCATCTGTGCCAATTTTTCTCTTAAAAGTTATTTTTTTCAATTTAAATACTTTTAAAGCAAAAAGGAAAAAAAAAAAAACCCAACCCAGTTCAGGGTGTCAGTTCCAAAAACTTTTCACAGAGGAGCAGCGTGGGGGCTGGGCGCAGGATCGGAGGCGGCGTCGGTGCAGCGGGGGCGCCCCTCTGGCTTCCCGCCTGCTGCACCCCGTCGCCCGAGCAGACCCCCCTCTCACGTGCGCGCCACTCGGCGCTCAGGCGCACGATGACGCTCCCTCCTTCCCATCCCGCGACCCGGGACCGGGCAAGTTCGCCGCCCCGCACCCCTGCTCCCGAGCCGCACTCTGCCCTCAGTGCTCTTTCTCCCGTGACCCCCCCTCCCCCCGCTCTGCTCCAGGTGCGCTAGCAGAGGGGGGTGGGGGCTGCGCGAATCCCGAGCTCCCGGCGTCGTCCTCCTCCAGGGAGCTGCCAGGAGACGGCGAGCGCCGGGATTGCGCGGGAGAGCCTGGCCTTGACCGCGGACGGAGATCGCAGTCACGGCCCCCTCCCCAGCAACCCCGTCCAGGCAACCGCCCCCTCCTCTTCCCGGTCTCCCTCGGCTCCTCCATCTCGCTCCCCTTCTCCGCTTGCAGCCCCGAGCGCGCGCGTCGCGGGGGGCGGTGGTGCTGAGGTCCGGCTGGAACTTGGGGAAGCGGAGGAGGGGCTGTCGGGGCAGGGGGCGCCCCCCGCCCCACCCCCGCCCCGCAGTGGGTGCCGCTGCCGGTGTGATGGCGTCGCCCGCCCGCCGTGCCTCCCCCGCCCTCGCTCCCTCCGCCAACCCACGCTTTGCTAGTAGCACCTCCCGGGCCCCCAGCAGCGGAGGGGGCACCGCGGTGCAGGCGCAGAAGGGGCGCTAGGGTGGCGCCAGGTGTGCGGGGGCCCCCGAGGCGGCCAGGAGCGTAGCCCCACCCGGTCCGTAGCCCCCGGTGTCCTCCACACCGCCCCTCCCCCACACCGTCGGGCGCTCGGGGAAGTTAGACGGGGTGCGGCCGCGGGGCCCCAGTAACGGTGCTCGTGCGCGCGCGCGCGCCCGCGGTGGGACCCGCTGGCCTCTCCGCCTCCGTCCAGGACCCCGCCCCGCTCGGCTTCTCGGGTTTTCTCCCGACCCCACCTTCCCCACCGTGGGCGTGTGCGTGCGCGCGGACACCCCTGGGCACCGCCGCAGACCCCTTTTCGTATTCCGTGCCCTCCCGCGCCCCCGCCCGCGGCGGCTCCTTCCAGCCACCCTTCCCCCCGGGGTCACTATGGGGACGCGAGGGAGAGATTTGTGTTCAATTCCTGTCGCTATTCAGAGGCAAGAAAAAAAATAAAGGGACCAAAGGCAACCTGAAAGCAGTTTACTTCAAGCTTTTATTATTGTAGCGTAAAAGAAGTTTATATACAGGGAGTATTTCCAGCAAAACACTCACAAATGGCCTTGGAATCGGGGGCCTCCCACCTCCTGGCCCCACAGTCAGCAGCTCTGCCTACGAACGGGGCCCCTCACTCGGGGTCTCTAGGCTCGCCCCTCATCTCTCGTGCCTTCGACACCCCCCCCCCCCCGTTTCCCAGGAGCCCCAGCCTCTTCCTTCTCCCTGGGGCAATGTGAGCCTCGCCAGTGCCTCCCAAGCTGGCTTCTTCTGGTCCCCAAACCGTTCCTCAACCCCCCTCGCCTCCTCCCTGTATGGTGGACTGTCCCTCTCTCGTTTCAGGCGCTGCTGCAGGCCCCCTGCGGTTCAGAACCAGCTCGTGGTGGAGACCAGTTAGAGACAGCTCGTCATCAGCAGTGGGGCCGGTGAGCACCCAAAATAAGGGGGGGAAACCCCTGCCACCCTTCCCCTTCCCCACGGCAAGCCCCTACCCCCACCCCGGGGACAAGAAATAGCCACAAAAGCAGCAGGGCATCCCCTCCCTGGGAGCGACAGGTGTTGGGTGCCAGGCAACTGGGGCAGCCAGCTGTGCGCAGGGGTGCGCGGGAGGGGCCCAAGTCTCTGCGCAAGGGGCTCTGCTCGGCTGAAGGCACGCTGGCTCTTCTCTCTGGGGAGGGGGTAGGAGAGACGCAGGGGCCTCCGCAGGGACAAGTGGGGTGAGGGTGGGGCCACACCCGCACTCAGAGGGGATTTAGAGCCAGCTGGGCAGGTACAGGTGAGGGCCTGTCACAGCAACGGAGTCCGGGGAGGTGGGAGAGGATTTTCAGGGGGCCGGGCCGAGGGCACAGACTCGGCCGGATCCGAGGCGCTCTTCACGCCTGTGTCATCGGGCCCTCGGCAAACCTGACTTGGTTTGGGGCGTTTGCACGTGGGCCTCGAAGGCTCGAAGGCACTGCCCGCCAAGTTCAGCCAACTGTCCACTGACTGTTTATACTCGACGAGGCTGAGCGCCGTGCAGCTGCTCATCGTAGCGCTCCAGCCAGGTGCGCAGCTCGGACACCTGGTAGCCGTCCGGGCCCCGGCCGCCCTGGTACATGACGGTGCCATTCTGGACCACGTAGAGGCGCTCGAAGTAGGCCCCGTAGGCCGAGCTGCTGGAGTTGGCCATGGTGTCGAGGACCAGGGAGCAGCTGGGCGCGCCTTGCTGCAGAACCCGTGCCGCGCTGACCCGGTCCTCCAGGCTTCGGTGCTGCGGGATGCTGTAGGGGGAGTCGGTGGTGACCCAGCCGTCCGAGGGGTGAGCCTCCTCGATGTAGATGATGAGGAAGTCGACGTCGCGCTGGTACTTGGTGACCAGGCGCTGGAAGGCGCTCATGCGCGCCATGAACGGTGGTCAGGTGCAGCTGCCGAAGTTGAGGACCAGGGGGCGGTTTCCCCGCGCGTAGTCGAGGATGTGCTGGTTCTGGAAGCCGTTGGGCAGCACCACCTCCGAGTTGGGCGCTGGGCCGCCCTCGTGCGCCTGCTTGAAGAAATCCAGCTTCTGGCCGTGCCACACAGCCTTCAGCGACGCCAGGGTGCACAGGCGGTTGTCGTCGGACACGCAGACGGGCGGGTCGTCGGGGGGCACCTCCTCGCCATCACTGTCGAGCTCCGCCACGGGTGCGGGCTGCCCCCCGCGGCGACGGCCCAGGAAATGCTTTCGGATGCACAGGAAGTCGAGGAGCCAGAGCACGAAGGCCGTGCCTAGGAAGCGCGGGAAGAGCACGAGGCACGTGGCCGTCTGGGCGCAGAGCCGCAGGGAGTGAAGCAGCAGGGAGCGGAGCATGGTGGCCACGGCCCCCGACGCCCCCTGGGACCCGCTGCCTTCCCCCAGCGCCAACCGCGGGGCGGCCTGGCGAGGCATCTGGGCTTCGGCCGAGCAGGGGAGCTCGATTTATAGCCGAGGCTTCAATTGGCGGGAGACTCCACCTCCGGACGGGGCCCGCCCCCTTGCAACTTGAGCCCGGAGGGATCACCCAGCGGCGCGGCCAATGCCTTAGAAATCGAGGGCCGAGGGCCGAGGGCGGGCGCGGGCGGGCCGGGGGGCGGGGCGGCCGGGAGGGGGGCCGGCGGGGGCGGGGCCGGGCCCTGAAGCCAGCTCGCGGTGTGTGTGTGTGTGTGTGTGTGGGGTGGGGGGCTGGGAGATCGGGGACCCCCGGTCGCGGCTGCCACCCGGGACGCGGAGCGGGCCCGGGGACCCAGGCGTCCGCCCGAGGACGGGGTGGGGGGGGGGGAGGGCGATCCTCCAGCTCGCGCTGTAGCGCGGCGCGCGGCCTCTGTCCTGGCGGCCCGGCCCCGGCCCCGCGCCCCTGTCGCCGCGCACCTGAGCCGAGCTCCCCGGCGGCCGCCGCGCCGCGCCGGAGCTCCGGTTCGCTTCCCGCGCGCCGCCGCCAACGCCGCCCCCGCCGCTGCTGCTCGTGCGGGGCCGCTGCCCAGGTGCCGCGGGAGCCCGGGGCCGCGGCCGCCGCTCTGCTGGCCCCGGTGCCCGCCCCGCCGGGGGCGCGGGCCCGCGAGGAGGCAACTTTGGGCCCCCGCCGCCTTCCCCGTTCGCCCGCGGGCGCCGCTCGCCTCCCGGAGCCCGCCCGCCCGCCCGCTCGCCTCCCGCGCGCGCTCACACTCGCGCCTCGCACACGGCCGCCCCCCGCACCGCCCCGCCACGCACACCGCGCTCAGCGCCCCCCGCCGCTGCCCGAGGCCGCCGCGCGCTGTCCCGGCCGCGCCCGCCCCGTCCCATCTCGTCCCGGCTCGGCGCCGCCGTTCTAGGGTCAGCGGCCTCCGGGGCGCAGCGGGGAGGCGCGGAGGGCAGGGCCCGCGGGCCGGTCAGCGCCCGGCGCCGGGGACGGGCAGGGCTGGGGACCGCGGCGCCGTGCCTGCGCCCCAGCCGATCTGGGGGCGCTGCGGGCGCGGGGCGCCGCGGGCGCGGGGCGCGGGGCAGCGGGCGCGGGGCGGCGGCAGCCCCGGCGGCTCTCCCACTAGGGGTAGCTGTTGCCTGAACGCCGCAGCGCTCCCCTCTCGCCGCTCTCCTCGCCCGGCGCGGCCCCGGCCGCCGGGCGCACCCGTCCCGTGCGTCCCCGGACGTTGCTCTGTGCCCCGGGGACGTCGAGACTGGAGCGCCCGAGCCGAGCCACCTTCGCCGACCCCGAGCGCCGCAGCGCAACTCACCGCGGAGGCGCCCGGACGCGTGAAGTGCGTACTTTCAACTGGGAATGAGTGTTGAGGCTTTCAGGGGGTGCGGGGCGACTCCCCAACTCCGCGGGGTCCTGGTCGGCCCCGCCGCGGAGTCCGAGGCCATCCGACTCCTCGCTGCGCTCGGCGCCACGCCGGCGACTCGGGCTCAGGGGCGGCGGGGCGGGGAAGTGCCCTGACCTGGGGTCCCCGAAGCCCGGAGCGAGCCCCGATTCGCCTTGGCCCGCCTTGCCCTCCGGGGTGAGGTCTGCGCCCGGTCGCAGGCGATTCGTACCCGGTCCGGGGAGTCGAGCCTCCAGATACGCCCTCGCAGGAGCGGGGACGTATCTGGAGGCGGCGGTGGCGGCGTCCGGGGCCACCGCTGCCCGAGTCCCGTGCGCTGCGCGTCCCGGGGACCAGCCGCCGAACTTCTCTCCGGGACGGAGACGACGCTCGCGCCGCGGGCGGAGGTGGGAGCTCGCTGGGCCCGCGGGCGAGAGGGCGAACCGCTCCCGGCGGCGGCGGCGGCGGCGGCGGCGGCGGCGACGAGGGAACAAGTCTGGAGAAGTCAACCGCAGGGCAAGGAGCCCCTACCCAGGACCCCGCGGGCCCCCGCGGGCGCGGGGGTAGACACCCCGCTCTGGGCAGAGGTCCTTCCCTCCGGGTTTCGCGTCCCTGGCGGGATCCTCTGCCGCTCGAGCTCCCCGATGGACCCGTGGCTCCAGCAATCACGACCCAGAGTGGAAGGTGGGGGGCGCTTGAACGAAGCCCCCTGGCTCCGTCTCCCACCCCGGCGATTCCTCCGTGTCTGGAGCGGGGGTGCGGGGCTTCGCAGCCCCAGGAACTCTCTGCCTAGAGGGAAGCCAGCCTGGTCCTCGCTGTCCCTCCCAGCCCTGGGTAGGGGTCGTTCAGGTGGGTTAGGGGATTCTCAGGAGCCAAACCTGGCCGGGTCGGTGTGTGTGTGTGGGGGGGGGGGTCCCACTTACCTGCACCCCCTTTCCCGCAGGGCACCGCTGAGTTAGCAAATGGTTTCCTTCCTTTGCCTTGCTCACCCTTTTGGGTGGTGTGCGTGTGTGGAGAGAAGCCTTCTGCTTGGCAAGCCTCCGAGACCATGTTTGGGGGTCTGGGTTGCCGCTACCCGGCAGGGGCCAGGGGAGTCCCGACTTTTGTTGGAGCAACTTTGGAGCCCCGATTCCTGGATTTCGGGGGGGGGCGGGGTAGGATGCCAGTCTAGGACCTGTGCCCTGCACCCACCCACACAGAACCGGGACAGACCATGGGGCGGCCCTCCCCCCCTTGCCGTATTGAGTCTCAAAATGAAGAGGCCACTTGGGGCTGGGAGCGCCCTTTGTGCTGCCCTGGACCTGCTGGCGGCGCTGGAGCTGGTTGGTGTGTGGAAGCACTGGCCTGGGGTAGGAACGGTACCCAGCCCGCACGGCCCCCATCCCAGGGAGGCTCAGGGGAGCAGCACGAGGCTTTGGGGCTGTCACCTCTCTGGGGGTTCTGCTGCTTTCTTGGGCGGACAGGCTACACTCCATACCTCAGGATTCCAGAACACTGGACAAGGTGCTCAGGCCCTTCTGGCTCCCCCAGCCGCTCATGCAGGTGAGGACAGACCCAGGATCCAGGGACTCGATGGCCTTTGGAAGCGGGGCCCGGGCTTGGTGACTCCTCTCCATCCTGCCTTCTCCCTCTCCTGAGCCATCTCTCCCTCCCCGAGAGTCCCAGCCGCACCTCCCCCCCCCCCACTGCCCCCTGTCCAGGGCAGAGTGCCACCTCACCCTGGCCCTGGCCCTTCCTGTGGGCTGCCCATCCTGCCCTGTCCTGTCCTGGGGGGTCAGCAGGAGACCTTGGTCTTGAGAGTCTTGGCCCAAGGCCCAGAGGCCTGGCCCCAGTGGGTCTGCCAGGCTCTGAACCGCAGAGATGGAGCTGGGGCTGGTCCCCCTGCTTCTGGGTCTGGCTCGGCCCGCCCACCCCCCTCCTGACTGCCCTCTCACAGCTCCAGCAGGGGGCGGGCAGGGGAAAGGAAAGGTCCATCTGGTGTCCAGGAGCAAATTGAAAAGGGCTGAGGGAGGGGACAGGGGCTGGGGGCTTGGCTCAGCCAAGGGAAGGTTGGGCGGCCTCCCTGCTTCCCAGGCCGTTCCCATGGGGCCGTCTCCCCGTGCAAGGGAGGGCTTGGGGGGGTTGCCCCGGCTTTGGCCCCTCCCCCGTGGTGCCCTGCGCAGGGCTCGGTGGGTGGGTGTGCGGTGGGCACAGCCCCTGATTTTCTCCTGCTGAGCAACTCCCAGCGACCAGGGTCATTCCTGCTGAGACTTCCCTTGGGGACAGCGTGGGCCACCCTGCAGGCCTGAAGCTCTGGGTGAGATGGGCCAGCCTGCACACCTGGCTGAGAGTGCCCGAGACCTGTGACCGTGTCCTGGCTGAGCCCCGGCTCAGCCTCTGGTGAGCTGAGTCACCAGCCCTCCTTGGCCACTGACCCTGGGTCTCCCCTTCCATTGGCCTCTGGGCGCTCTGGGAATTCCTGGGTGCTGTCCTGCCTCTGCGCCCCCACTTATGTTCCCTCCTGGCAGCTCCCACCCTTCCTCCTCCCCCACTGCCTTCCCCTCCGCCCGCACGCACCCTGCCCTGACGCCCAGTGGGGGCCGTGACCATCCCTGCCCTCCCGCGTCCCCCTTGCCCTCATCCGCCCCCCTTTGCCGCGGCCTCCGTGGGGGTGTGTTTCACCACCGGCTTCTGTAGCTGCTGCCGCTTATGCCTCGCTCCTCCCAGGCTGGTCCAGCTGGGATCCTCGGCAGTGACCCGATCCCGACCCCCAGGAGAAGCCCAGCAGACCTTCGGGGAGCGAGTGAACGAGTGTGGCGTGGCCTCCCTGGAAACTTGGTTCAGGAGAATCCAAGGTATTTCATTCTGCTCTTTTTTTTTTTTTTTTTTGTCTCCTGGCAGCGGTGCTCAGGTGAGGCGAGAGGGCCGCGCGGGCCCGGGGAGGTCTTCCAGCCCCTGGGAAGGCCCCCTCGGGTTTGGCGTCAGATGAGCCCTCCTTCCCCTGGCCACTGGGCCAATCTGTTTCCCTTCCCGGGAGAAGCAGGCCCTCCCGTCAGCGTGCTCCCACAGGGCATTTGCTTCGAGAATGACTGCTTTCCAAACTTCCCTCCACCTCCCTGGACTCCAGCTGGGCTGGGCTGCGCTGGACACCCTGCAGGGGGTGGTGGCTAAGGTCTCACTGGTCTGGTCTTCGAGGGTCCTCAAGAGAGCAGGTGGAGACCTCCCCCCACGAGAGGCCCCGGCTGGTACCCTCCGTGTAGTTCCGGGCAGGAACGGGGCGATGGTGGGGCTCCCGGGGGTTGGGCAGGTTGCGGGGCAGGTAGCGAGCCAGGCCTCAAGAGCTTGTGAGGGTCCCCGGGCCCAGAGGCCTTCTGGGGTTAGAGGCCTGGGGCTCCTGGCCAAGGAGGTGCCGGCCAGGCCACCTGCCGTGTGACCTGGGCACATCCCTCCTCTCCCTCGGGCCTCGTCCACACGGCAAGGAGACTGGGTGGCTAATCTCTGGTGCTTTCCCTGTGTTGTCCCTCCACCACCCCAGAAGGTTCTAGGATGTTTTATAGGACCTGCATGTGGCTTTGGGGCTGGTGAGTCCCCCCACCCCCCACTAGAGAACAGAAGGCAACTGTGGCCTCATGACCTTGTTGCTGGCTCCCGCCTGGCCTCTCCTTTGCTGCCCTGCCCCGGCCACGGCTCTGGGCCCCCACGTTCCGGCCCACCCACCCCTCGGAGCCCGGGCACGGGTGTTCCTGCTGTGAGCCCAGACACAGCTTGCTGGTGCCCGGCCAGGCCCCTCTGGAGGGTGAGCTGGCGCCTGGGAGAGGCCCTGTGTGGGGAGGCCTGCGGCCTTCGTGGGGCTGGAGGGGCTCTGGAGGTGCTGGGCCACTGGCATGCGACGGGCAGACCCTGCTCGGAACCCTGAGGCTGGCTGCGGCCGCCCGAGTCCATCTGCCACATCCATTTCTCACCCTCCCTTGAAAGGTGGGGTGCAAGCAGCCAGCAGAGACACAGACACCCCAGTCCCTTTGCTTCTCTGTGCCTCAACTTTCTCAGCTGAGAGATGAGCCTGATGTCGTGAACGTGTTGTGTGTGCTGGGCAATGCCAGGTGTGTGCACACGTGTGTGCGTGCATGCGTCTGTGCAGGTGCTGGCAGGGAGAGCTCAGAGAGGAGGGGTCCTGCTGAGGCCATGGGAGGGGTGCCAGCTGGTGATGCTTAACCGCAGCCCCGGGCCATTTTAAGCTGCGAGGGTCCTCCTGAGCCCTTTGCTGTTTTGGGGACCCCCCCCAAGCCCTGCTCCACGCCAGGCTCCCATGGTGGTCCTGGGCCCGTGAGTGAGTCAGGCACGCTGTCTGTCCCCCAGGAGCCCCCCAGCCTCGCAGGGCCCTGGGAGGGGTAGACTTGCTCAGGCGGGGCGCGCCCTGGCCCTCTTTCCATGGGTGTGCACAGAACATTCCTCATCTTCCATAGGACCCTCTGGAGCAGGTGAAGGACTCAAAAGGGCAGGAAAGACTGTGTCCGGGCGGCTCTGCCTGCACACACCCCCGGGTCTCCGGCAAGTTACCGGAACTCTCTGTGCCCCATCTCGGTTACCTGTCAGCTGGGCAGAGCTTTCAGCCCCAGCCCGAGGAGCTGTTGTGCACACAGGGTCGTGTGCACACAGGGACACAGCCTAGTGCAGCGACGCTGTGGAAATCACAGTGCCAGGCAGCACTGAGCCCCGGCACGCGGGAGGTGCTGCACACGCGTGTCACAGCTGCTCCCGGGCGCCTTGGGCCCCCACGTCCAGGTGCCTCCCAGCTTGTCCTCTCCTTCCCCCCGGAGGGTCCTGCTGGAACACTACGCGGACGCTGCCAGGTCGTAAGCTGGGGTTTCCTCCCCCTGGAAGCCCATCTCTGTGAAGTCTTCAGGGCCCTGGACACCTCTCTGTTCCTGGTAGTTGTGTTTTGATGGGGCCCTTTAGGTTTTTTTGTTTTTTTAATGTTTTTATTTATTTCTGAGAGAGACAGTGTGAGCAGGGAAGGGTCAGAGAGAGAGGGAGACACAGAATCCGAAACAGGCTCCAGGCTCTGAGCTGTCAGCACAGAGACCGACATGGGGCTCGAACCCACGAACCGTGAGATCATGACCTGAGCCGAAGTCGGACGCCCAACCGACTGAGCCACCCAGGTGCCCTGCTTTGGGTTTGCCCATGGCAGAAACTACATCCAAATGAACTTGAGCTAGGAAGGAATCTACTGGCTCCAAGGGGTGAAAGAGTCCAGGCGAAGCCCCGCCTCCAGGCGCAGCTGCCAGGGCCCTGCCCTCCCCTCCCCCCACTCCGGGGGCTGTGGGCCGCTGTCCCTGGTGCACCCGCTGCATTCTCAGGTGGGGTTTGCTTTGCTCTCAGGTGGCCCGGGGTGGGGGGCTGCAGTGGGTGCAGCTGTGTGTGACTGCTTTCCCTCTGCGAGCGTCTGATCTGGTGTAAGGGGAGGGCAGGGGTCCCATTCCCGCAAGCTTGAAACTCACCTGCACCGCCCGGGTCATGCTGCCCCCGGGCTGTGAGCAGGGGCTGGTGGTGGTGACCGTGCTGCCACCACCAAGAAGGCCCCCTTGCTTCCTCATTCTCCCGCTGCAGAAGCTGGCTTCCCGCTTTGGGGCTCGGTACGCCTGTCCCCTTTTCCTCACTTTCCAAAATGCCTGAATCGGTCCGCGTTTTCTGGTTACCTGTGTCGCCTTCACTGACCGTGGGCTCCCAGAGGGCAGGCTGGGGCTGACTCACCTTGTCTGCCAGGCCTGCACACCATGGGGCCTCCGTTCCCCGAGGGGGTCTGGGGGTGCGTCTCAGAGCAGGCCGTCTTACCTGGTGCGTTAGGGACTGTTGGCCACCTGTTGCCGGAGTGACGCGGGGTGACAGCCACACAGTGATGCGGGCTTGTCTCTCTTGGGCTGTGGGGTTCAGCTGTTTCGGATTCCCTGCTGATATTGCGGGGGCCCCGGCTGGGACCACGGTGGCTCTGCTTGCTCCCCGGCCCCGGCCGGCTTGCCCAGACCTGGTCTCTTGGGGAAGGCAGGGCCACAGAAAGACAGCAGCCCCCGTGCACGAGCTTGTGGGCAGGCGCTGACCAGTGCACATCTGGTCCCATCGCACTGGCTCGGGGAAGCCGTGGGTGAGCACCACGTGGAGCATCGTGGGGCAGAGCCATGCACAGAGCAAGGGACGTGTGTGTGTGTGTGTGTGTGTGTGTGTGTGTGTGTGTGAAGAGCTCTGTGCCCCAGGGACAGAGCAGGATTGGTACCTGGACTTCTGGTGGCAGTTGCATGCCCACCCCAGTGGGCTGTGCCCTTGCTGGACCAGACTCAGAGCTGGGTCTTGAGGGATGGCATGTCCCGGTAGGTACCGACTCGCCTTCCGCCTTGCCCCTCCCCACTCCCAGCCCAGAGTGGGAGGCCAGTCAGCTCCGGGGGCAGCGGGGAGGTCCACCTCCTGTGGCCCACATGGCACTGGGGGCTAGCTGAGGCACTCGACAAGTTCTTAGGGGGACATTCATGCCCTTCCCGGCCTCTGGCCTCACCTGTGAGATGGGGATGGACTTGGCGAGCAGGAAGGGACTTCTAGTTCAGGGCTTGGTGTCAGAGAGAAAGAGATGGAAGAGTCTGGGAGGCAGGCCTAGTCCTTGCCACTAACATTTGCCTCTTTCTGGAAGCTTCTATAGGCTCCCTTTAGTGGGGGTGGTGGGTGCAGGGGTGCAGGAGTTGGGTGTGTGATGGCTTTCTGTGACTCTGATGACTTGTGGTCACCTGTCAGCTGGCCTGCTGGGGAAGCCCTTGAGAAGAGGGGCCGGGCCGGATGGGAGTCCCTCTGGGCCAGGGCCCATGGCCTTGCCTCCCTTCCTTCCTGGGGGTGTTTATCTGAACCGGAGCCTGTTATGGTTGAGCCTTCCAGGGGGAGGGGACGGGGGGAGGGGGAGGCAGAGCCACGGGAGGTTCCTGTGGGACCAGCCTGCACGCCTCCTCCCCTGCTGCCCCGGGCAGCCCCAGTGAAGCCTGCTTCCCGCCCTGAAGGTGACTGAGAGCCAGAACAGCTCCCGGGTGCACTTGACCTTGCTGGGCCCTCCAGGCTTAAGCCCAAGAGTCACTGGGTCTGTGATTCTGGGACGTGGGCTCTAGGAACTCCAGGAACTGTCCCCAAGCCCCAGGCCCGCCACGGGTCCCCGCCGGGGTGACCAGTCAGCAGGCGGCCTCCTTGCAGACCCCAGTGGGAGGGGGAGGGCAAGCCTCGGTGAGACCAGTCAGTCCCGGGGCGCTGTGGTCAGTGGAGCAGGCAGTGACCGGGACGGAGGGGAGGCCAGAGCCGGGGCCGGGGCCCGTCTTGAGACCCCAGGCTGGTGCCGGGGCAGGTGCCGCGGGGCTGCGCAGGGACAGAAGCCGGAAGGAGAAGCGTGTGCACATGTGCGGAGCCGTCCTCCCCAATTTCTTCTCCCCTCCCCCCGCCCCTGCCCTCCCCTCCCTCCCCTCCTCCCCCCTCCCCTTCACACCTGCCCCCTCCCTCTCCCCTCTCCCTCCTCCCCCCTTCCGCCCTCCTTGTGTGTCCCCTTTGCACCCGCCGCCCCCTCCCTCCCTCCTCCACCCTGCAGGTGACCTCCTGTGGCCACAACCACGCTCCCCAGGGCTGGCTCTGGGCAAGCAGACGCTCGCAGCAATGCCTGTGCCCTGCACAGCGTCAGAATTCTGTGACCATCGTGGCCCAGTTGTCACTGAGAGAGGGACAGTCTGGGGGAGGCAGCGTGGTTTGCCCTGCGCGCCCCAGCCGGTGGGTGGGGTCGGTGACCGCCTTGCTCTGGGGAGATGTGAGTGCCCTGCTAAGCAGGCGGGCTCGAGGGGCAGAGGAGCCTCTCTGGGTTTGGGGCTGGAGGTCACAGGCATGTCCTGAGCTCCTGGAGCAGCCCGGCTGCCCGCTGTGCCAGGCTGGATGAGGTCACCTCCCGGGGACCCTGTATGGGGCCCACTGCGGGGGCCATGCCCTCCCCATTGGGCCGCCCCGGGCTCTAGCCTGGCCGCTGGTGGCCTCAGAGGGATTCTCGGGGCACCTCTGTCCTCAAGAAGGGCTCTTCGGAGAGGAAAAAAGAACACATTTCAACACCTCCAGATTCTGAAAATGGATTTCTCCCAGGGAAACAGAGACTCAGAGCATGAGAGAGAGCCAGGAAAGCGGCGGGGGCGGGGCGGGGGAGGGGAGGAGGAGGAGGATCGTGGGAACCGGGGCCAGTCGGAGACCTGGATGCAAATCCTGCCGATCCCCTCCTGGCTGTGTGACCTGGGCACATGGCTTCACCTCTCTGGCCTCAGTTTGTCTCTCTGTTCAATGGGGTAACTCTTCTTGCTTCATAAGGGAGGCCTCAAGGATAGGATGTGGATAAAGCAGTTCTTGGTCTTTGTCCCCTTTTCAGGATGAAAAGCCTCCCGACTCCAGGATGATGATGTATTTCTGAAGGACATCTCAAAGCCCCGGAAGGACCGACAGTGCTGGGTACTTTGGGCCTGACCGTGGAGCCCGAGCCCTTGCCATGTGGCCTCAGTGATCTGCCTTCCCTGGGCTCCAGTTTCCTCTCTGCAAATTGGGAGTGAGGATCTCCACCTTGGAGTTTGCCAGGGGGTCTGCAGAGATGTGGGTGCGGCGCCAGGCACGGCATCTGCTCCTGGGGTGCCCTGAGGGCCCTGGGGTAGGGGCATCTTCCAGATGGAGGCAGGTCCCGGCTGCCCTGGGCATCACCTGGCTTCAGCTCATCCTTCTTTCTCTTGCTGGTCCTCTGGGGCAAGCCCTCCTTGCTGCCTTGTTTGGCTGGCACAACCTTGGGGCTGCCTCCTCCAGGCAGTCTTCCTGGATGCCTGGTCAGATCATCCGGCTTGCTGGCTTCAGCTGCTCCTTGCCATGTAGTCTCTCTGGGGACTTGTTGGCCGCCTCCTCCCAGGCCTCTGCGCCTCTGTCCTTACCTCCTCCTTTCCCTCGTCCAGAGTCATGTTTGCAAAGCTGCTCTTTGTTCAGGATACTGAACGTCAAACCACCTGGCATGGGCTGGTGGGGCCCCCCCGCTTCCCTTTGCAGCTGCATCGCCTGCCCCTGCCCCCCACTGACCTGACATCCCCCCACAGAAACATCGTAGCAGTGACTCTGCTGAGTGCCAGGCACTTCCCAGCACCTGCCTCCTCATGGGCCCATGAGGAGGTGTGAAGGAAGCCATCAGCCTGGACTTGAACCCAGGACTTCTGCCTCCAAGTTTACGGTTATCACGCTGACTCACAATTTCTCCACCCAGGCTCCGTCTGCCAGTTCCACCACCTTCTCCTGGAACTCCTTTCTATCCCAAACCCAAGTTGTTTTACAAGGCTTGGCCCAGACGTTGCCTCCTCCAGGCAGCCTCCTCAGATTGCTCCTCAGATCTCCTGTCTCCTCCCCCTGCCATTCACTGTTGCTTTTTACCCATGACCTTGGCTCACCATGGTCCTGGGAGGGAGGAGAGATTGTGTTCTAGTACTAGTTGCCCCTCAGTATCCATTCTCCTCCCTTCCTAAAGTAAAAGAAACCCTGAATCCGAGCTGGGCATACAGCTGCCAGTTCAAGTTCTCAACGCCCCTGCAGTTGCCTGTAGCTGTTTGGCCAGATCCTTGCCAATGACATGAGAGGGGTGACCTGTGGAGCTGTTGGGTCCCGCCCCAAGAGAAAAGAGAGGTGGCTTCCCTTTTTTCCTTCTCCCTGTACCTACTGCCGGGTGTCAGCCGTGAGGGCAGGAGCCTGAGCAGCCACACTGACTATGGGACGGAAGCTGGGTGTTGAGGCTCACAGAGCAACAAGGAAGAACGAACCTGGGTCACCAGCACATCGGCCGAAACTGCCAGTGCTCAGACTGTGTTACGAATAGGGCAAAGTCCTGCTATCTTGTTAATCTTGTTGGGGGGGCATTTAGTAAAGCAGCCAAAGTATATCCTGATTAGTACCGACCCAGAGGGAGAAGTCGATGAACCATTTGCAGAACGGCTAAGTGATTACCAGCCAGGGGACTGTGTTTCAGAGCACGTGGTGCTCTGGGGTCACAGGAGGGGCGTGTCTCTGGATTTGAGCTGCCACGCTGGAGTGGTGGCTCCCTGCGCAAGCTACGAAAGGGGTCGGTGGCTCTGATGCCTCATCTGTGACATGTGGGCAACAGTCCGCCTCCACGAGGCTCAGATGAGATGATGCACTTGAAGGGCCTGGTTTTGCGGGTACTCCTGTGAGCTGGTCCCCCTCCAGGGCTGGAAAGGTTTTAGTGAGAGCTGAGGGGTCATCCGTCTTCTTGCCTGCCTGTCCCCTCCCCTTCCTATTTTAGGGGCCTCCTCTTCCTCCTCCCTCCTCCCCCTGCATGGCTCTGCCTTTCCCTGGTGCAGGGGGGCTGGTGGGTTTAATGAGCCTCCCCCCCACTTCCCCAACAGCACTCAGCTTCCAACAATGACGACTTCCACCCCGACTTTTCCTGCATTGAATCTGCATCTCAGAATCTTGGGACATGTCTGCAGAACTGAAGCCCGTGTGTCCACCTAGCCCCATCCGCCCCATAGGAAGCAGTCCTGACTTGACCCTTCGGAGGAGGCCCGCCCTCCCAGGAGCCCTCTGCCCACGCCTGGCTGCCCTGTGCTCCACAGGCCATATGTCATCCCTCAGGGACCTCCAGGTGGGAGTAAGGTGCCCCTGAGGCTCGGTCTGGCCCTGCCCCCACCTACGGAGCCCGTACTCTGAGCCTGGGCAGGGAGCACGGAGCTGGGGCTTTGGGGCTCTGGGGGTCGCCCCGGTGGTGCTGAGGGAGTGGCTCTGGGGTCTCACTCCCCACCTCAAGCTGGGCAGCGCTGTTCTCCAAGCTCCTGGAACAAGGCGTCCTTCTCCATATGACACAGAGGGTTTCATGGTTGTACAAAATCAGCAGTTCGCAGTCACCCCCTTTTAAATATTTTTAATTCTGGTAAGTTACGTATAACATGAACGTTTCCATCTTCACCATTAAAAATACTTTTTTAAAATGTTTATTTGTTTTGAGAGAGAGAGAGAGCAAGCAGGGGAGGGATAGAGAGAGAGAGGGGGAGGGAGAGAATCCCAAGCAGGCTCTGTGCTGTCAGCACAGAGCTCAATGGGGGGCTCAAACTCACAAACTGTAAGATCACCTCCTGAGCTGAAACCAAGAGCCAGGTGCTTAACCCACTGAGCCACCCAGGCGCCCCCCTCATCACCATTTTTAAGTAAAGTCACGCTGTCGTGCACCCATCACCACCCCCATCTCCAGGGCGGTGTTCATCTCCGCCAACCTGGAACTCTGTCCCCATGAACACTAACCCTCATCCCCTCCCTGGCACCTTGGCACCCACTCACCATCCTCTCTCTGCGTCCATGAGTCTGAAGACCCTAAGTACCCAGGTAAGTACAGTCGCACAGTGTTTGTCCGTCTGTGACTGGCTTATGTCACTTGCAGACCTCGGGGTGCACAGACCTCGTAGCGGGGGTCAGTTCCCTTCACGGTCACGGGCGAGTGATGTTCCGTTGTGTGGACAGACCACGTCTTGTCTCCCCAGCCACTGATGGACACCTGAACATGCGTGTGCAAATACCTCACGGGTTCCCTGCTTTCAGTGCTTCTGGCTGTTACACCCAGAAGGGGCATCGCCGGGTCATGTGGCAATTCTACGCTTCGTTTTGGAAGAGCGTCCACACTGTTACCTCAGCTGCACCGATCCCACTCCCCCACCCCGAGCCTTGTTCTGTTCTGTTTATTTTATTTTGCTTATTTTATTTATTTTTATATTTTATTTTATTTTATTTTATTTTATTTTATTTTATTTTATTTTATTTTATTTTATTTAAGAGCCACCTTAATGTATGTGAGGTGCTCGGAGCCACCCTTTTTATTTATTTATTATTATTATCATTATTATTTTGAGAGAGAGAGAGAGAGACAGTGTGAGTGGGGGAGGGGCAGAGAGAGAGGGAGACACAGAATCTGAAACAGGCTCCAGGCTCTGAGCTGTCAGCACAGGGCCTGACGCGGGGCTTGAATCTGCAAACTGTGAGATCATGACCTGAGCCGAAGTCGGATGCTTAACCGACGGAACCACCCAGGCGCCCCTTGAAGCCACCCTTTTTAGAGATGAACTGAGACCCAGGGAGGGGAGGGACTGGTCTGAAGGCTGCTTACAGGTGTGGGGTGCTGATGCTCAGGGAGCACGGGTCTCTAGGCTCCTCCGTCTGCCCTGCAGGGCAGTGTCCTCCTGTGGGGAGGCTGACGCCCGTCCCCATCCCGAGAGCCCTCCGTCCCCGGGCTCCGCGCAGCTGTGGGCAGGATTCCCGGCGAGCCTTCTCCTCTGGTGCCTGCGTCCGCTTGCTTCCCCAGCCCTGCTCAGGCAGGCGCAGGGCAGACCACCCAGGGAGGGGGCGCAGGCGGGGTTGAGCACTCAGCTCTCTCTCCTTTGTGGGCTCACAGCGGGATTAGGGACCATGGGGCTGCCAGGGTGAAATGTGTCCTGATGGCGGTGACAGTGCTGGGGGGCAGCCCAGAAGGGGCAGGGGACACCTGCTGATTGTACATTTCTGACATTCCAGCCTTTTCTGGGGCCCTCGGATCAGGGCAGAACCGTCAGTTAAGGGGTCCCACCTCATCCTGACCCTGGGCGGCGGTGAAGCCAGAGCTTGGGTCTGGAGTGGTAGAGCTGAAGCCCCAGGGGACTGTCACTGGCAAGCCCACCTGGGGCGGCGCTCCAGGGACTGTACTTTCATTCTGGAGACTCAGGGCTTTTGGAAACCCCAGGCCTGTCCCTTTCAAGGTCTGGAGGCCTGGACTACTCCTTTACCTTCCAACAAATTCCTCATTTGCTTAGAGACTCCTGGAGATCTAGAAGGCTCCATCAGGGACACTGGGATGAGACCCAGGTTGGGGAGGAGTGGCTGGCCAGGTCCTGGAAGAAGCAGCATGTCAGACAGAAGGGAAACAGGAGTGGAGGCCACAAGTGGGGGGGAGCTCAGGGCGGGTGGGGGGGAGCTCAGGGCGGGGGGGGGG